GCTTAAGGTCCCTAATTTTAGAACTAATTTGGTAATTTTAAATATAACATATATAGCATACCCCCACGTCGACACAGGATGCTGGGCGCAAAATTTCCACACGTGGGACACGCTAGGGCAATAAAGCTTTCATCCATCACTCTTACAATTGGTATGATAACATCCAAAGAGACCCTTACACAGGATGGAAACGTGGAACGTGGGAAAAGCACCAAATAAACACAAATTCAACACCTGCATCCAAATAATAAGCCTTAACTAAGGCTTTCTGCCCCTTTTTATCATACATTCATTAATTCAGTTATGGACTAAATTCTCTAAAAGTAATTAAAGCAATATGATCGTTCACTTTCCTCAAATTTTCCTTTGAAATTGTAATTTTCGATGTTGTTTTAGTTTTTGTTATCAAATATCGCCATTGTCAGACACATCTGTAAATAAAGATGAAAAGTTAATGCCCTATTTTTTGATAATATGAGTTGCACTAATTTCAAATTTTCGATGTATACCATTAAGACTATTCACTTCCTTTTCTAGAGATTTTTTTCCCTAGAAAGGATAAATCTTTCAGTATATTCTGTAAATATTTAAAGAAGGACCTCTCCCAACGTACGTGGGTCAGCCCAGTACTTCTATGATCATTACTAACGAGCAGCTATGTTAGCCTCTTAATTCACGGTTATTGTAAATTGACTCGCATATCTGAACAAATATTTGTTACTACTGAACCAGGATCCCCGAGGAAATCCTTGGTAATTCCCCTTCATCAACTTTCCCAGACGTCTGCAAGCCAGACTAAAACAACAGATTCGCCCTTTAAGGTAGTCTTTCCGCTTCGACGACTCGGGTACGATGTGTGTCCGTAGAGACTGGCCCCAAGACTGCGATAACCTCGCCCACAACTCAGCACCAGTGCCCTCGTCTGTTCACCACCAGAGTGCGAAGGAACGACAGGTGTGGTTACCAGAGGGAGGAGGTGTTTTACAGACTCGTCATGGCAGCGTATTACAGTATATACCATGAGAGAGATATTATTGCAAACGAGAATACAACCATAGCTTGTGCCGATGTACAGTTCCTTGTCTACTGCAAGGAGGGAGTTCACCTGTGCACGGGAAGCTGGTGACCAAAAGAAATTAACAGCTTAATTTATGAAAAACTAAGGACGCTATCTCTGGAGGTTTAGACTAACTTTCAGGAGAGTCTGATTTTTGGTTTGATACCAAGCTGTACTTTCAAGTGAAACGACGTATCAAGTTATTAAGTAATATCAACTGAGTTGAAATTCGTAAATTGGCCACCGTAAAGAGTTAAAAAAGCTTTTCTTTAAAAAAGCTTCTCTTTTCGGTGGCCAATTTACAATTTCAACTTAGTTGATATTACCTAATTACCTTGTTACGACTGCTACCCCATCGACGCAGCACCACAGTTTTTCTAGAAACGTACCCCCTTTATTAACTTATTAAGTTATTGATTATGGGTCTAAGTTTTTTGCTACTTACGGCTCAAAGGATAAGGATCTGCGCCTCTTCTTAGAGGGACTTTCGGTTTTGAACCTTCAAATCTCGGTGGATACTGTGAGCAATCAACACTGCGCACAATTTTCTTGTCCAGAGCGTCCCATCGGTAAACGCGAGTGCCGGGGAACAAAGCCACCCACACAGACCTCCCGACGGGATCATCTCCGCTGATGGTAGAGCTGGTGGTCTGGCATGTCTCAAGATGGGATACACTGTGTTCTCTTTGTGAAGACGAATCCGGTTCACTGTCTTCCGCTGATTTGGTGCAAATTTTCTGCATCTCTTCACCGTCGAGAATTGTTATCCTCCCCTTTTCTTTCCCGCACCAGACCTCGCAGACGTATTCGTCACGGGGGCTATTTCGGTCATCAGAGTCCTCGGACGAGTCTGCCTCGGTGTTCGGTGGGGGTTCATTACCCTTGCGTTTCTTCAGCAGCAATGCTGCCATGCAGTGAATGGGAATTCCATCGCCGGTGTGGACCCGTCTTGGTAGGAGCTCGAGAACAGGAGTTTGTTCCGACTGATAAGAGTGATGATAATGATTTGAGATGTTATCATCGTAAGCCAGAACAGAGCCATCTGCAAGTGCCACTAGAACCCAGTTCGCTCGAGGGACGTGGATCATGTTCAGGATGTACCTGTTTAAAAGAAGAACCTGATCAGCCTGGTATGTTTTGAAGAATAATTTTTCGTCACAAAACTCATCCCTGTTTTCTTTTCCCTTGCATAATACCATCACTATCTTGACAGGTGGGTTATCCTAAATAAGTTTTGAGTTTACTAGCGTTCTATTACAGATGCTGCAATCTGATTGGCTACGCTACTCACCATCTATTCTGCGATAGATAGTGAGTAGCTTACCAGTATGCAGTTGTAAAAAAATCAATTAACATATGAGCTTTTCTTTTTGTCAAGTTTTGAACAACTGGTAGATTTAAACTAAAAAAGATTCCAAAAAATAACCATGCTCAGTACCTGTTGGACCTGATTGATCCTTGACACAGCTGTTTACAAGTCATGGCACAAAACACGTGCAGTGTGCCTGACTCGGTCCCAAGCCACACTGAACTACCCACGCTACAGGCAACCCTTATGCAGGATTTGCCCACAAAAAACTCCTAAGAAATAAATAACAAATACAAATGAAGAGAATGAAGAGAACTAGAATGCAAGCCATTCACAGTTTATGATGGAAAGTGTTACTTATGCCGTTTACTGTAACGACCCAAAATGGGTGCTACTTGATAGTCTGTACGTGAATCACTACCAAACAATCTATAACCTCGAATTGTTTGTAAGGCCAGTTTTAAATTGAGTAATCTCAGCGACCAATCAGAACAAAGGTTTACATTATCATTAGCCAATGAGAACTCAAAGTGAAAACAAGCAAACTGACGCGAGTGACCAAGACTTGATTGTTTTCAGTTGTGCACCTGTTTGGTCGAGAGAATGGCGCGAGTTTTTTCGACCAATCATAGAACAAAGTTAAGTAAAACCAAAGCAATCCCGATTACCTGCGACACACAATTGTACATTGTTCAACTGATTTCTATCGAACTTCAAGTTCAGTCTCACGCACAGGCACTAAAATCAAAATCTACAGAGTAGTATTTCTACGCAGTGCTGTTAGTCTCTGGATGACACTGCTGTGTGAACCCTTTTATAGTTTGGTTTGACAGACTCATACTAAGTTGCGAATCAGCGTCACATTTCGCATAAATTCACCTTTTTGTGATAACACCGCCCTCGGCTGTAGCTGAGGACATTGATTTTTCCTCTGCCTATCCCAGCATTCAACTCGCTTCGACACAGCCAGACCTCTGACCCCACACTAGCCCTATCGTCCGCCCCGCGGCTTTGACTAACTCGCGACCCAGCAGTCACAGCACAGTTTAAGCCCAGCTGTTGACAAAAATGGAAAAATACACAAACTTGGCAAACTCTGTACGTTGATGATAAAAAAAAAAGAGAGAGAGAAAAAAAAAACGGCTGTTACTTTAGCTCAGGATTTGACTGCTACACTCCAAGACATATCCGTTGGAGGCCACTTGTTGCCTTACTGTACCCCTCTCAGTGTGGTTTCCGTAATACTGCACAATATCTCGGGAGGGGGAGAGGGGAAGAGAACAGTTCAAGCGGTGCTCAAAGGGGTACTCAACTAATTATGTCTGAGAGCGTACCATAACAATGTCTACGAAGATTTATAACAAAGTAAAGCGCGCGCTCTGATTGGTCAATTTAGCGTCCCCCATTTGCCCATGGGTGTACGCTGCTGACGTGAGCAAATGCAAAGACTATTTTTCCACGCGCGCTTGTTTTTACTGGTCACGTAAGATTTGTTAAATAAAAGGGAACTCTTTAGCTACAATGTATCAATGTTATGTTATAAAACAAATGGTAAACACCACAGCGTACACTATTGAGTTATGGATGCACTTGGGAGGTTTGCTAAGCACTCAAGAAGCTAGAGTCGCTCTCGGCTTGTTAGTTTTGAAACGCTATTTATTTTCTTTGTACTTTAGATTATTTATTGCTTAACCGCCTATTGTCTATGCTTAGTTAATGTTTATCTACGTTACGGTTTATTTTTGTCGATTACTGTAATCGGTGTGAAAATGCTACGCAATTTATGTCAGTCATTCGCTCATATTACGGGCTTACGTAAAAGAGAAAATCATTTTCTGATCGCTGTCGAGAGGTCGTGCGCTCCGCTACTCATTGTAAAACTGTTTTGTCTACTCCGCACCCACGCTTTTCAAGTACGCTAGGAACTCTACCAAATTAAGTTACCTATATTGTTTATGCTCGATTTAGTTTATCGTTTCCTTCATTATTAGTTCAGTTGATTTCAAGAATAGGTCATTGTGCTGTCTCATCGTTTGTAAGTCAATTAATTAGCTTCGTTTCGTTTTCTATTACCTTCTAGTTCGAGCCACATACACGCACACATAATTCTACCACATTTGCTATCGAAATCACACCAAGTATTCAGCTACCTGGCTACGTTCCATTTTGTATCACCTACCATCAAAACACTTGGGATTGTTACACGTGGTGCTTGTGCGTTCGTTTTGGGGCTCTATGTACTAGCTATCCTTCCTCTGCTAAGCGGCGCTACCCTGTGATTCTCTGGAATTCACACGGCTATCGCCTCGCGCGACTCTTACGCTTCTTTCGTGCTTAGCAACCTCCCGCGTGCATCCATAACTCAATAGTGTACGCAGTGGTGTTTATCATTTGTTAATTGCTCTGGGTAACTTCATAATTTCCAGAGAAGATAAACACATTGATAATTTCCCACGGTGGTCATATGAGGGCCTGTGAAGTTGTTTTCATACTTAAAGGTGTAATAGTGTTTTTCTAAGGAGAACAAACAACAAAGAAGAAAAACTAAACCAAAAGACGAGACCAAGAGACGAGATTTGAAATAAAATAATTGAAAAATTCCGGCCCAACATTTTCAATAAGCGGTACTAATGGAAAAACCTTTATCAACGAACCTGTTTGTCGAAAGTAAGAACGTCAGAGAGGCGGGGAAATTCGGTTGCAGAAGACAGCTGATAGATGTGATAGGAAGGGGGTCTCTTTTCTGCCTCCTGTTGCCAACACCACGCCATCAAGTCCAGCACAAACACTGGAGCTTTTTTGTCCTACAAAAAGGTAAATCGTCCCCCAGATAGTGGTTTTAAAGTTGTAGCGCATTTCGAAATTTGTTGTAAAAACCAAATCACAACCATCAATCAGAATAAAGGCAAATATTTCAAGGAGCCTATGAAAACTTGAATTAAAAAACAAGCAAGCGGCGAGAAGAGACAGTGGCCAAAAGCGCGGGAAAACGCGAGTTTCGAATGCTATCAGTGTTGTATCTGATTGGTTAAGAAGGAAGCTCGAATTTCTGTGACTGGTCATGAAGAAAAGTAAAGCCTACCCAACGAAATTCAGGTGTATTTCGATACTAAATTTAACTGGCTAATTATGTCTGCCCTAATAGCTCCTAGTCGAGAAAAAAGTACATTTTGACACGTCATTTGAAACGAAAATGCATATCCTACAGCGAAATTTTGAGTTTCAGTCGAAAAGCGGACAGTTACGTTGTAAAAAGAAAGGATTCTTCTAAAAATTAATCATTGCATTAAAAGTGTCAACTTTGTTCGGCGTTACGTTTAAATCTACGCATAACGCCTTGATCTTGCCTCGAGGCCAACAGTTACGCATTCCCCTGGCCGATCGTTCATAGAGCGCTTTCTGATCGAGCGTCGTTAAACCAAACCAAATAACTTACAACAGCCAATCACAGCAAGGAAAATATCATCAAGAGCCAATGACAACTCGAAGTAAAAACAAGTAGACTAGCTGAAGCGCGGGAAAACGAGGATGACCAAGTCGCGATCTGTTTTAGTATCGATTCTGATTGGTTGAGAAAGTGGCGCGAGTTTCTTGGCCAATCACATCACAAAATAAAGCAAAACCAAAGAAATTACAACAGCCAATCACAGCAAGGAAAATATCATCAAGAGCGAATGACAACTCGAAGTAAAAACAAGTTGACTGGCTAAAGCGCGGGAAAACGAGGATGACCAAGTCGCGATCTGTTTTAGTATCGATTCTGATTGGTTGAGAAAGTGGCGCGAGTTTCTTGGCCAGTCACATCACAAAATAAAGCAAACCAAAGAAATTACAACAGCCAATTACAGCAAGGAAGATATCATCAAGAGCCAAAGGCAACTCGAAGTAAAAACAAGTTGACTAGCTGAAGCGCGGGAAAACGCGGATGACCAAGTCGCGATCTGTTTTAGTATTGATTCTGATCGGTTGAGAAAGTGGCGCGAGTTTCTTGGCCATTAACATCACAAAATAAAGCAAAACCAAAGAAATCCTGGATTACTTTCGACACTCAATTGAAAATTGCTCTAATAAACAGAGACGATTAAATACCTTGGCAGTAAGTGGCGGTCGATGACCCTCGACGATTAGCTGTTTGACCTGGGCTGGGTTGAGATCATTAAACGGCTGGTGCAGCGTGATTAGTTCGTAAATGTACATTCCAAAGGAGAACGAGTCCACCTTATCCGTGTAAAGCTCCTTCCCGACGTACTTTTCGATCTCAGGGGCCATAAAACCAGGAGTGCCTCCCAGTCCCTTCATTCCTGCTAAGGCCGCTGACCGGCTGATACCATAGTCAGCCAGCTTTATTACGACTTGATGATGTGATTGGGCAGCGCTCGTGGGGGCTGGAAACACCCACACCAAAATATTCTCTGATTTGAGATCACGGTAAATTATGTGGTGGCGATGTAAGTATTTCATAGCTGAGGCACACTGAAGATGAAAATATATGTGCATTTTGCATTAATGAAAAACTTGATAAGGTGATGGGAAACTTTCGAAATACAATGAAACTATTTAAAACAGGGGTTTACTGCTTGTTCAGTAAATTGCGCAACAGCAGTTGTAGCTAAAAGCCCGGAAAAAGGCAGAGTATGCAGCCGGCAACCTATCAAATCTGGCTGTTTCAAGTAGATTACACTTAATTCCTTAATTAAATCTTTTCAAAAGTAAAAACATTTCATCTTAATTTGTTATCTGATGAAAAAGATACTTAAATTTCTCATTAGGCAGTCCACGTCGGCTCTAAAAAGATTTCCACTGAATGAAAAGTCGCAGGGAAAATTTGGGATGTGGGCTGTTGACCACGTAACGCAGGGTCCGGGGTGTTCGCATCATGCGGGGAACGCGTAACGTAGGTTTGACTGCTTTGATAATTCTAGATCATGGAAGATGTCGTGGAGTTGTGGTTGGCAAGCAGAACGCTTCGTTGTGTTCCTGAGAAAAACACTCCACTCCTATAATATGCTCTCCACCCTCTGGAGGAGAGGGCGAGGAGGAGGGGAGGAATAGACTATGGTAGGGTGGGGACTGTGAGAGGCCAGTAAAACAAACCCAGCAAATTTTTACCCATGTACCCCCCCCCTCCGAATATAAATCAGGTACAAGGTACAATTCGCTTCGTGATTTAAGAAACAGGAGACGCTCTACAGGGAGCGTGGCATCTAGGCCTGTGCGAAGATTTGATCAAAATCCTTACATTGAAAGGTAATTAAATAAGTTTCAATTTGAAAATTATTTTCTTCATATTGGTACCTGCACGATACATTTCTGCATGACGTAAGCATTAAGCCTAACTCCAGCCCTCTTGTAGTTTGCAAGAATTCCGTCCAAAGCCCCTTGAGGCGCAAACTCCAAAATCATGGAGAAAGGGTTTAGACAGTATCCTAGCAACGACACGATGTTATGATGTTTCAAGGGTAGGAGAATGGACATCTCCTGACGAACAGTCCTGGAAAAAATTCATAGACCAATTATTCGGCCGATCGATCCATAAATCAAGCAAGGACGCAATCAATTCTTCATCAATGATCAAGACTAAGTCGGTCGGTTAGTCGGTAAGTCATCCAATCAGCTAATCAGTCAGTTTGCCACTCTGTTGCTGACGAACAGTAAGTCATCCAATCAGCTAGTCAGTCAGTTTGCCACTCTGTTGCTGACGAACAGTAAGTCATCCAATCAGCTAGTCAGTCAGTTTGCCACTCTGTTGCTGACGAACAGTAAGTCATCCAATCAGCTAGTCAGTCAGTTTGCCACTCTGTTGCTGACGAACAGTAAGTCATCCAATCAGCTAGTCAGTCAGTTTGCCACTCTGTTGCTGACAAACAGTAAGTCATCCAATCAGCTAGTCAGTCAGTTTGCCACTCTGTTGCTGACGAACAGTAAGTCATCCAATCAGCTAGTCAGTCAGTTTGCCACTCTGTTGCTGACGGAGTCCGGGTGAGTAAGCCACGCAGTTAGTTACTTGGTCGGTCAGTCAGTTAGCCCGTTTGGTCAATAAGTCAACGGTTCGGTAAGATAGCCACTCACCCAGCCACACAGAGTATACCCTTTAGCCAGCCAATAATTATGTCGGTCAATGTGTCAGCCAGTAAGTCATTCAGTCACTCAGTCAGCCAGCCAGCCAGTCATTGCTAGTAGGTCACCGGCCGGCCAGATAGCCAGTCAGTCAGCCAGCTATCCTAAATGCGGGGTAATCTTCCTTTTGGAGGGAAGGGCCGAGTATTTATTTGTTTAGCAAAAGAAGGTAGACTGCGCCTACGTTGATGTGGCATTCCATAGTAGCTAGTGACTTGGTTAGTAAGGAGGCCGGTCGGCCAGTCAACTACCATAGGTCAATTACAGGTTTAGTAAACCAATAACCCATCTGCACAACCCCTTGATTAATTGATCAACCTTCAGCTTCTCTTTGGATGAGAATTGTCACTGTTTTTACTTTGAAATAGCGACACTCTCTACATAACAAAAAAAAAAAAGAAAGAAAATTACAATAAAAATACAGTCTTCTCACCTGTAAGCATCATTCAATGTCACGGTTGGATTTTCTTTCAGCGCCCTCATGGCCGCTGCAGCCATTTGCTTTTCTTCTGCCGGTGCATCATCACCCACTTCATTGTTCAGTGGCATCTTCATGGCGATAGTTATCGAGTTCCCGGATTCCTGCCTCAGTTCCCCGCGAAATACTGAGCCAAAAGTTCCTTTGCCTAAGAATTTGCCTCTAGTTAAGTCGGATGCTTGAATGTTCATGTTTGGAGCGATGTCTTCAAACATCTGTGGACGAACGAAGATATGAACTCAGGATACGTCAAAATCGTCGGAAAATATTATAATAGCCATGTTAATCAAAAGACAGAAAAGACATTGTCTTGTTGCTTATACTCTCATTGTCGAGCTTTAATTAATCAATACCATATTAAATGACTTAACCATTGACACACTTACATCACTATGCAAATTCTCCATACTGTTCTCTATATATTTCCTAAAGCGCTGACAAGGAGAATTTGTCTAACAAAAAGGAACCTCTTAAGTTGGTGATCACTTCCCACATTCTCGTGACCTTACTGTGTGATTCAGGCGTAATATTGTAAGGAGAAATTAGATGCTGGTCACTCGGAGGGGTTAACGGGCTAAGGACAACCACTTATAGTGTCAAAAACACTTACAGCATCTGGAGCAAGCTCTTTGATATCCAGCTGGCCGTGCACGGTGCACTCCACGGGCTCAGTATTGTAGGCAGCAAGCACACATTCTTCAAACTCAAATGAATAAATGATTGCGTCATTTTCTGTGGGTCGCTTTCTGAACGAGCCGTATTTACCGGAACCACGTTGAAAGCTTTCAGCGCTGTCGGTGCTACCACCTGAAGTTGGACAAAAAAAATTACAGTCGAACCTGTATTTAGCAGTCACCCATGGGGAATGACCACTTATACAAGTTGATCGCTTAATATAGGTTCCTCAGAACAGGGGTATTATAAAAATAGAAACACAACGCCCCTTTATGCTATGATTGACCACTTACTGTACAGAATCTCGCCCAAAATTACTTCTTACCTTGGTTTTTGGAGAGAACATGGATTACAAATTACTTGAAAGATAAATCTTTGTTTTATTTAGGAATGAGTGGTTCGCCTTTAAGTGACCGTTCAATACAAGCGGAAGACAAGACAAACAGGCCCTCGGGACTTAGTAAAGGGCGACCGCGACTGCTTAAGAGATAAACGGCGCTTAATACGGTGCTCCTTCATCTACATCTATTTTAATACTCTTCAACGCTATTACACATAATACAGGTTCCACTGTAGACAGATTAAACGAAACCAATCGATAAGTTGCCTCTTTCCAAGCCGTTCTCTATGATGTCACGCTGCGAGAAATTAACGTGCGTTGTTTGACATCCCAAGACTGCTAACTACTGAAGTTTTCCTGTTTTGGTGTCTTTGAGGGAATTTTGTGCAGCGGGTCGTTAACGCGCTTAATTAATGCCCAAGACTGCGCAACTTGCGATTCCAATCAGGTTTGTAGTATTAAAACAACAATAAATTACTATTGCACATCATAATATCTCAATTCACTCTCCGCACCTTCGTTGGGTTCTTCTTGATTTGTTTCGTTCGACTTCTTGGTCTTGGAGTTCATATCGCTGACGTCACTTTCCTCGCTGTCACTTCGCCTCAATTCCCTGCGTCCTTTACCGGATTGCTTCCTCCTCCTGCCACCCATCTCTGGAGAAAAGGATTGGCTACTTTCACTGCCATGACTATCTGTGCTCTGAAAATAAGGAAAACAATTTCTTCCATATTAAGTAATTCGAGCGCTTTTAGATCGAACGTCAAAATTCTCTCACCTGATCTGAAGTGTAGTCAAAACAACTTGAGCTCTCCTCCTCTGTCTCCCGTTCAGTGCTCACGTACCCAAACGTGAATCTCTCGGGCTCCGAGTGGAAACGGTCACGAAAAGGAAATTGAGGACTGCCATGGCTTTGCCCCTGTTGCATATCAGAGGAGCCCACGCTCTGTGACGGCGAGTCAACTGTAAAAAAAACAAAAAAAAAAACAAAGTGGTTTGCGACATGCTTATTTATCTTTAGATTTCAACTCCGATTTTGAGTTTTCATATTCGCTCCTACATTTTTCCTTTTCTCTGATTAATCGTTGTGATCTCTTTGGTTCTAATATTACGATACGCTTCCCAAAAACAATCAAATTGTTTGCGAGGGTAGGGAAGATCCAAGACGCAAACATGAACCAAATGCCAACAAGGACGGTTGACGGTAAAGAAGATTATCACGGATCGCATAGGACAACCTCGGAAAGATTAGGCTACTAATTCTCCTTATTGTCTGTCATACAATTCTTATGCTGTTAGTTTGAAGAATTTGGTATTGGATCGACTGATAATCCCCTAATTTTCTTTTTCCTTATTCTCATCTCTTGTCTGATCGATATTGTATTGATACTGTAAGGAGAAATTTTATCTTGGTCACACATGGGAGTTTCAGGGTTAATTAGCTTATCATCTAGTCTGTGGATTAATTTTGCCACTTCTCATACCTTCTCCATTAGTTTCGGGTCTCCTCGAAACATGTACAGGGCTCGGCCATGGAGAAGCGCTCGTACTACTCCCGTCAGTCGCAGACAAATTTATGCCGCTATCCTGCCCTGAGGATAGCGTCAAAGGCACATCAACTGCCACATCATCTCTTTCCTTTTCATTCTCGGCTCGATCGATTCTGCATACGGTCATGATGCACTTAGGGCACGGGATGATCCTAGTGACCAGGCGATTACCATGCACCGTAATTGCATCAAGTCCTGGGAACCAGTCGGTGATGAGCGTGTCCATGTGTTCCACAGCGATGGCAACCAACCGCGCAGAGGACTGGATGTTACTGTCTAAAACAGACTTGACTTTAAATCCGATCACCTTTGATCCCTCTCGGTGATCTGTGAATATAACATTAAATTATCCATTTAATGAGCAATTGCGAATCTGTCCAATCTTAAGAGTACTGGATCAGTCGCAAACAACAACAAGCATCCGATAAGGCCGTTTTTAAGTGTTTGGTGGACACAGTAGAGAGATTTAGCATCGCGTTTACGTGAACGGCAAGATTGACCAAGTGACCTTGTCATTCCCGCCATTTTTTCACATTTGCCGATTGCGCTTTGCTTCGTTAAGTGAATGTAACCTATTTCGCGTTTGCCGTGTACGTAAGATTTTCTTCACTTTTTCTTTCAAAGAGTAGAAGATAATTTCCGGAAACAGGGCACCAAAAACTATTTCTTGTAAGTCATACAAGGGCGCCTTCAAATGATTCATGACGTGAGCTCACGCAAGGCTAAAGCAGCAAGGTTCAAGCTATTTTACGTGAAACGTGAAAGGGCAAGCTGACGTTTGCTGTTTCACGTAAACGCGATGTCAAATCTCTATTGTGTTTCAGCGTCTCCATAATGGGATTCCAATAACGCGCCAGGCCTTTCCCTCGAATAACGCTCCTAGAGTCGCATGAATTTTTCAGGCTTGTTTTCTGCAATCGCTTAAATTGCCCCTCATCTGCGAGGTCATTTCTTAACTTGACACTACATTGATTTTTCTCACTACTACCTGGCCTATACAATTGCCGTTTCACGCAAATTCAAATTCTAAATGCTACCGGTTCAACTTTTCCCGCCAGCGAGCATGAACTTCATAGTACTTCGCAGCTATTATTTTAAACCGCAGAGAGAGTGAAGCGGATTACCGAAACGAAATATATAGGACTGGGAAACCGACAACTTCTAACCTTCTCCAACACTTCTTTGGCTCGTCCTCCTCGATGTTACTTTCTTTCGTTGTTCAAACTTCTCCATTCTAATGCGAACACATGGCGTAAGAACTTCAATGGTGGAATAACGAGTGGTGTCATGAACCTCGCGACGGTAGTGTAGTGGATTAGCCATGTCATCTGCAACAGAAGGAAATGATCAAATACAATAAATGATCATCCTCAGGAGTGTTTTGAAAGTTCATCTGGCTACCGGCGTGTGGTGTAAAAGCTCACTTGGAAGATAACGTCGGAAAGGTCAAGAGTTCGAATACGAAACGACTTGGGGCGAAAATGACCCGAGGCGAAACGACCCGAGTCGAATATAGCCTGACACCTGAAGCCCTACGCCTTTGTCGGGCTCCCTTGCCCTCACTTGGTTACAATTTTAAAGAATACGTCAATTTAAGGTCACTCGTCTATAGCTCTATTTCCAAATCGAAAATATACGTAAGAGAACTAAATAGCACTAACTATAAGGCACAGATTGCACCAAGTTTCCATCAAGAGGACGCGATTAACTTCCATAAACCATTCCACTGTTCACGTGGATGAAACTTTCATCGTTAAAGGTTACCACTTAAGGAAACCAACTTTTAAGTGGCTCGAAAGTCCTCTTGATGATCTGATTCGGAATTTACGGCCTCCTTTCGGTTGGATTGGTCAAACCTCCGAAATGTATCGGCCCATCAGCACCATTGCCATCCCAAAATTGCGTAACTTATGATGGCTAATGTCCTCTTAAGTACTGCCCTCACATACTCATGAATATAATGATTCAGTTTTAATAGATTTGAAATAATTTCTGATTTTATCATAAAACCCTTTCTTCGTAACTTGGCGTGCTAAGTCAACAACGATGCACCTACGAGATAGATGGAGCTTGAACGTGCCCACGAATTTAGTATGATGCTAATCCTCGCCATTGGTTTCACCTTTCTACTACCCAGATCTCAACGAAAATTCTCCCTTGTATCTACCAAAAATTTCTTCCGAATTCAGCTCTGAGAATTAGGTGGTAGATCGATAAATAATCCCTGGTTGATATTGATGGTGTAAGGAGAAATTAGTCGCCGGTCAATCCTAGGAGTGAAAAGGACAAATGTTTTACTGACATTCAACTAGTCGTGAAAATGTCCCAGCAAATGATTTTTTTCCAGCTCACCTGGTGCGCCATAAAAAGGTCTTCCTTCCAGTTCACATATCCTCAGCAATTTCACTCCAAAACATGACAGTTCGATCCCAGTCTTCCAGCATGACCACTCTGGTTGTGCCACAGAAGTTAGTTTGTCTCTGTCACCCTCCTGAACAGGGCCATCGGGAGACAGCTGACAACAAGACTTCACTGTATCGCGGATTCTTTCATCTGGAATCACTCTGTTGAAATGCGTAACATATCAAGACGTTTTTTTTTTCGAAACTATAACGTCGAAATTACTCCGTCTTCATTCTGTGGGCGACACCAGAAGAACGAAAATGTAATAGTCGTGGCAACAGAGGACAGCGAGGGAAATATGTCAAGCCAGTGACAAAAATGTAAATAGTGCGAGGTGCGAGAAAATAAGTAAGCGGTGTTGTGCGCGAGGAAAATATATAAGCAGTGCCACGCGCGCAAGAAATATGTATGTGTTGCAAGCACTGAAAGCACCAGAAAATTTATTAGCACTGCCAAACGCGGGAAAACTTGTGAGGGGTGCCAAGAGCAAGAAAATCTGTAAGCTGATAGAAGTGCAGTTCTCATACGTCAGCGGTCACAAGCGCGGGAAAATATGCAAGTGGCTACAAGGGCGGGCAATATTTTGTAAGCGGTGCCAAACGCGGGAAATCATGCGAGTTAAGTAAAGGCAGATGAACGTGTAAGTGTCGAAAAGCGCGAGATAAAAATAATTCTGACTACGCTTGGCGAAGGAAAACATGTCAACGGGAAGATCGCAAGATAGAAAATGTCAACGGTGCTGAGCGAAACAAAATATGCAAAGGCTAACAGCGTAGGAAAGCTGTAAAATGCCACGAGAGCGGGAGAATGCTCCGCATAAAAGTCGTGAAAGCTCACCTAGTAATCAGTCTTGGCCAAAACCCACTCGGCACATAGGACATGACGTACTGTCTCCGAAGTACTTTGGCTTGATTGTAAGCTGTCACATTCATGGCCTGCGCAACCGCCGCGCTTACACCAGCCGCAACAGGCTGGTTAGTTTCTTGCTGACTATCCGGGAGTAGAGAGGGGACGAGCAGGAACTCCGGGCTCCATGGCAGGGCCACTTCAAACTTGCTTAACAGGTTGATGTATTGGCTCATTAGATTGGCGGGAAATCGCTCACTTCGGAAAATTTGAGATAAGTCGGAACGTTTCATGACACCTGAACGAAAAGGGCAAAGTAAATAAAGACAAAAGTTATAAATAATTATTTATCCTCTAGATATAATTTAAGTTACAATAACAATCCTAAACTCAAACTGTGACGCTCGCTTTTCGTCACTCTTTTTTTACAAGCAGTTCACTCTAGATATGCCTCGAAGTGCAAGAGCCATCTTTGCGATTACTACCCCACGAATTCTTCGACGATGCGGCGTCGATAAACGCTTCCCGTAATCTGTTAGACCTCCCCTCAAGAAACATTCCAATCAAAAACGTAAGCCTCAGATTATTCTCATATCACGTAAGCGCCCCTTACCATTGTTTATGTGAGGGTTGACTTCCCTAATCGTGACAACATGAGCAAGCATGTCACACAACCACTGAGGGTCCAAAAAATACAAGTCACGCAGCAACGGGTCGTCGTAATGTAACAAGACACCTAACGGAAAATTTAAAAAAGACAACAATCAAGAACTCTGAGAGCAGAGCAAAATTTAACAATACTTTCACTTTGATGTTCGATATCCGGAATAAATCTGGTATCCGATTGAGTTCCCTACCCTCCCCCCTCACCCCAAAGTCACCATATCCTTATGAATTTTCACCCAATACGGTCTCCTTGCAGTTTCTACACCCGTGGGATTCTAACAATTATCTTCAATTAAACCACTGTCAGTAAGTAGGCATTCTTAGATGTCAACAACGAGAGACGAAACAGAACAGCAAGTCTCGGAATGGAGTGACCCCTTAGGCTAAAACTTTAACAAGATTTTGGAAAACTTAACACTTAAGACAATTCTTTCCGGGATCAAGTTTGAGATGCTGGTCCTCACCTGTCCGTTTGACACGTACAATGTATTTCAGTGGAATCACATGTTAGAGTGCCGTTTGTAATCTAAGAAGACAGCTGCAGTAAAGCAAGATGAAACTTGCCGGGATCAAACGCGATTATTTTTCTTCGCGTTATATAACAATATACAACCGTATATAACAATATATAACAAATATATGCACTAGCTAATTATATAACCGTATATAACAATATATATATATATATATGCACTAGCTAATTATTCCTTACCATTGTCATGCAAGAATCTTGTAGCTTGTTGTAATTCCTCTGGTCCTCTGAGGTGAAAATTTTGCCTTGACAGCTCAGCTTCAACCGCAGCGCTAACAAAAAGGAAAAGAAAAAAAACAACAACTCATCATAAGGACACACCCGTGAATAGTTGACTTCAGTTGTCAAATCACTTCGAGGTTGAACTCTCTGAATAAAATATAAATGAGGATAATCATAAAAAAAATAGCTTATTTGGCTCAACCCAATTAAACTCCGAAGAGTAAATGAGAACAAAGAATGTAAGGAATAGCCTCGCCAAAAAAACTTACACACTGAAGCTGGAAAAAAAAATTCCTCGCGGCAGGAGCCTGAGCCAGACTCTCAGTATCTCAAACATGCGAAAAAAGGGGCGCAGGAAAAATGGTCAGCGAGGAAACGAGGCGGTTGCCGTTGTCAAGGAATCGACTGTAATTTTTTCCACACACTTGCTTATTTTACGGCCGCCATTTCTCGTATGCCCACCAATTCGCTTGTTTCTACTAAATAAGAGCCTGGAGAGGTTAAGCCATTGAGGTGAACCTGGGGACAACAGTGAGCTAATCCGGTAAGACAGGGTGGGGGGGTTGAAGCCAAGATCACCGGATTGCAGGTCTAGCGCACAAACGCTCAATAGTGCGAATTCTAATTAGAAAAGAGAAGAATCGTCGGTCCCCTCTCCCTTGCTTCTCTTCTCTCTCTACCCAATCCCACTCTGTTTGATCTACACTCCATAAGACAAATTTTAAAGATACAGCTCTTGTAGAACCATGTAGCGGGAATTTTACAAATTTACCCTTTCCCGAGACAGTGACTAGTAAAACCGGTTTAGCCGATGGCCAAAGTGCCGGAATGAGATACGCGAATTGTATGTTACACTAAGACAACCACAACGCATCACTGTGATGTACTCAGTACAATACCTGAATTGCTCAGACTTGAGTACCGGGGACTGGTCGTCACGGTAGCACCTATCACGCATCACACCCACAGCGTTCTCTACTGCGATGTAACTGGCAGGAATGGGCGTCTTCAGTAGAGGCAGGCGACTGCCTAATGAACCCAGAGATCGAATCAAAGGAGCGTCCAAGGCAACAAGTTGCTGCAACACGTCGCAGCAATTCTGGGCGACTGTTTGCCTCGTGTTGCACGCCCTATTTTTAGTTCAAATCTTTAAATGTGTAACAAAGTTTTGTTTCGAAACAAATCGCACTAAGTCATACTGGTTTGGATTTGTAAGATGATCCCAGCCTTATAATAAGTCGCTGAAAATTGTTTCGGATGACTAACACAAGAAGTCGTTTGTCGCAAAGACCTCTCTCCTTCCGTAAAATACTTCCCGGCCTTTACAAAAAAAAAAAAAAACTCGTCAAAGAGGAAAAGCTTTGTAAACAGATTTTGCAGCCGTCTTTTGGGATGTCACGCAACGCTGGAGAGGGTTGTGTGACATCGAAAAACATGCCTGCGAACGTGACTATTTACTCAGCGCGTGGCCTGTAATATGTTCACAGAGTTATACTTAGAGATGATTACTTCTCCTCCCCTTCAGACTCTGAAGCAGTCTCATTCAAGCCGCTTTTTTCAGAATTTCTCAATGGCCAAGATTTAACTTACCTACTCATATTCAAATTTACCGACGCTGAACCTAGCGCGACTCAACAAGAATCTGTCAATCAAGAAAATTAGTGTAACTTACCTTTCTCTTTAATGTCAAAAGACGTGTTGTAGATCAGCTGCCTCAGTTCCCGGATGTGGTACCCAGTCTTACAGCTAACTTCAATCATGGCCCTAACCTTGGGCAAGCCTCGTTCTCGTGTGTTCAGAATTCTTCCTCCGTATTCGACGGCGATATAGTTATCAGATATCATACTCCTCAGGTTTGTCAAGTATTCAGATCTCCTGTCCTTGTCCTCTAACAAGTCGTAGTGTGTTCCAACAATGATGACTGTAGAGTCTGGGGCACGGGCCTTTCAAAAAAAAAAAACGAAAACAAAAACAACTACTAAATATTTTTTAAGTGCTTTGGCCAAATTCTGAAAGGTTCAAGAACTGAAGGCTTGATATTTAACGTACTACGCAGAATCTCCACACATAATCCAGCAAATAGGTGATGAGTAGACTTAAACTAATCAGTTAGGAATGGTTTGTCCATGTCCATATCCATACTCGTCGCTTTGTGCTACATAAAATGCAGCTGAAGTTTAAACCTTTCCCTTCCAGATATCACTAATACTTCTCCTTACCATCTGCCATGCAATTCCTTGACTGTTAATTCTGAGAGTTTGGTATTCGATCAACTAATAATCCCCTAATTGATATGCTTCTTTATTCTCATCACTTGTCTCCTTGATATTGTATTGATATTGTAAGGAGAAATTCTGTTTTGGTCACTCATGGCAGTTAAAGGGCTAAAAGAAGCACCCTTAGCAATCTCAATTTAGAAACACAGACAAATAAAAGTGTTCTACAAGAAAAGTAATTTAGTATCCAGGGGACGCTGAGGAATTTTGCGGAAAAAGGGTCAATTGCTTGTTGGGACACGGAAGCAGCTCACAAAGGTGTCTATCGATGGCGTTAGAGTCGGAGATTATAATATTAGTCCTTCTTCATCAGTCTGTAATCTGGGCACATGGTTTGACCCGCATTTGGATATGGATGTACATATTACCAAAACATGCAGCAGTGCATTTTATTATCTTTATAATATCAGACATATTAGGAAGTACTTATCCAGAAGTTGCACCGAAACACTAGTTCATGCGTTTATAACAAGTAGACTTGATTATTGTAACAGCCTTCTGTATGGGTTACCGAAATATCAGTTGTCTAAACTGCAGCGTGTTATGAATGCTAGTGCTCGTTCGGTTTATTGTGCTCCGAAGTCGTGCCACATCACGCCTCTACTTCGCGAATTACATTGGCTGCCTGTTTGTTATCGTATCGAATATAAAATAATTCTTCTTACATTTAAGGTATTGCATGGTATGGCGCCCGATTACTTGCGCCATTTAATATCTGTCTTGCCGCCGTCTAGGTATAATTTAAGGCGCAACGATGACTCCGCAGCTTTATTAACTTTCCCGAAAATAATATCCAAGAAGACCCTGGCAGATAGATCGTTTAGTTGTGCCGCCCTTAGACTTTGGAATCTGCTTCCTACCACAATAAGATCTATTTCCAGTTTAGATTTTTTTAAAATTAGACTTAAAACTTTTTTATTTAATAGGGCGTTTAATTAGTTACTATAGTTGTTATGATTAAATTGCATTATTGATGAATTATTTTATTTATTTATTTATTTATGGAATTTTAGAAATGTAATTTTGAACTTCTATTTTATTTTTGATTTAATATTTATTGTAAGGCGCAGTTGAATATTTTTATAGAAACTGCGCGGTATAAATTTAAATTTAATAATAATAATAATAYAAAGTACCTGGATATTCAGCAACCAGGGTTCAATTTGATTGACGCCCTGTTCGCCGTCTGTCACCTTCCACATGGCGATGTACAGCGAACGATGAGACAGGAAACACTGATGAGTGGCGTAATACTCGCGCTGTAGGATTTAAAGTGATCAGCGTTAAGTAAACCGGTTTTTTTAATTCTAGGGCCAAATCTAGATTACCGAGTTTGGTAACCTCATAGGGTCAGTGTTGTGTTGGTAGCAGAGTTCTACTACGCTCTCTGCTTGAGCGAAAGCCCACCTACTTAGAAAGAAATGGCCCACGCTAAACGTACGACTAAGGCAATCTTCGACAAGGAATGTGTCTTTCTCGTCTTTGAGCGCGAAAAGAGGCAGTAAACGGCAAATCTCGAGCGGATTAAGTGAAGCGCTATAACCGTTACAACACGTATCTAAGACGAGACTTGCCACTGCCCGCATTCGTACCGCAATTAAAACCTTTTCCCCACTGCTGAATACAGTCGAATCTGTATTCATCGGTCACCTACGAGGTATGGCACAATGACCGTTAAATACAGGTTGACTGGTTGATAGCTCTAGAGGTTTCACAGAGTAAGGGTGTTTAGAAAAACGATAAAAATCGGCATTTTATGCCATAATTGACCACTTAGTGTACAAAAAAATTCACTCAAAAAATTACATTTTAATCGAAAGATTATTCTTAGATTCATTTGACTGTTTCCAATTTAGATGACCGTTCAAAACAGGTGGAGGGAGGACAATACAAAAAGGCAGTTGGAACTCCGTAAAGGGTGACCGCGGCCGCCAAATAGAGGTAAAGATTACAGCTACGAATGGGCAACAATTTCGGGACTTTAACGACTGACGCTAAATATAGGGTGACCACTTAATAAAGGGTGACCGCTCAAAGCGGTGCCGCTAAATACAGGCTCGACTGTACGATTAGAAGCAAAGGATCAGGGGGAAAATCAACAACCCCACGACGCTCATACACTCCTCCCCGATCTCACCTGTCCGCCAAAGTCCCAAGTGCTGAATTTGATGCTGGGTCTATTGTCTGCTCGACCGAATGCAAAATCTCTTTTGTTTGGATAAATCCAATCGCACACATCCACACCGACAGTCGAGATGTTCATCTCTGCTTTCTTGGTTCGACCTGATCAGGGAGGGTAACAAGTTAATATCTAATGAAGAGGTTCACAAGTTAACAATGGCATGAGGTGTCGATACTGAAAGAAACAAGTTAAAAGGTTATTTCTTGCAAGAACGACTGACCGAGCCTCACTGCGACAAACAAAACGCTCATTCCCTCACCAGTTATAGATCCGGTCCTCTTTTTCTTGTACTTCCTCTCTGTCCACCCCACAGGGGGAGAATTTTGGTAGCTTCCCGTCCCCTCCTGCCTAAGTTGGCTCAGGAGTGTGGTCTTTCCGATGTTTGCAACTCCAACAAACATCAGTTTCATACTTGGGTGCGGCTCGGATCTGCAGCATACAAACAAATGCAAAAAAGTAAACTAAAAACATTTCTCTTTGATGGCAATTTTCAATCGAGGTGATCCGGGATTGCATCAGTTTGCTTCACTTTGCCATGAGATTGGTCCAGAAAAATCGCGCTTTCTACTGAACCAATCAAAATGCAAGATTAAAAACTAGACATAAAGTGGTCACTGGCGTTTTCGCGCGCTTTTAGCTACTTGCCTGCTTTTACTTTAAGTTCTTACTGGCTGATAACGATGTCAACCTTCGTTTTAACTGGCCGTTGACCCAATTAAAAACTGCTCCAGTGCACCAATATCAAGCTCATTAACAATGCGTACCTTTCTAAAACTGATCTCAAATATCCTACAATGTCTTTCGTCTTCTTTCTCTCCAGCACACTCGGCTCAATATCCTGTAGCTGCAAACCTTGGAACTGTAGATCCCATAGCTCTGAAAGCAATCCGACCTCGGGAGGTAGACGAGTGATTCTTGTGTTACTCACATGCAGCGAGCCAAGCTTCGATAAGACTCCTACATCCTTTGGTAGACTCCATAGTTCATTGTTGCTGAGCGTTAGAGACTGTAAGATAGGGAAAAGTACACTTGGACCTTTAGAATTCGCTGGTGTGGGGTCTGAGACGGATGCTACCGAGGCGGGGCGAGTCCGAGGAAGCGTAAAATAAATTTCTTCAAGTTTGTTGTTGTTTAGGTCGAGACGCTTCAGATTTGGTAGAGCTCTATGTTTTGCATGCCGACAGAGTCTTACTCTGCCCGCTTGGAGTCCATTCTCCGCACTGATCCTTCGGCGCACGCTCGGTTTTTGGCCTTCAACAACGCTGTAACACCGACTTTCCGCCGCATTTCCATGAAAGAAATTTTCCGTTATGGGGTGAAACCGCGTCAAGTTATTGTGCGATAAATCCAGTGTTCCGAGAGATGTTGGAAACAGAGCCAGTGATGGAACATCGGAAATGTTGTTATTTGATAAAATCAGTGTCACGAGATTCGTTGCCAGACACGAAAGACCTGGACGAATCTTTACGATTTGGTTTGACGACAAATCAAGTTTTTGAAGAGAGGCTCCTTTAGAAGGATCAATGTCTTCTTCTTCCGAGTCAGAGTCCTCGATTTCATCTCCAGGCCTTGTTCCCCATAGCTGACCGTGGTGGAACATTTTCAAATGGGGGTCCTTTACGCCGTCAACTTCAGCACTTTGCTTTGGTGAGCTTGATTCTAATGATGGACTCGCATGGCTGTCAAAACAAGATAAACAGAGCGATTAACAAACAACCCTCAGCGATGTATCATACTAACAAAAACATGACATCATGGTGATGAACTAATCGTAGAAAGGTATTGGCGCTCTATCACAAATACTGCAATCTTATTGGCTAAGCTACTCATTATCTAATCCGCAATAGTCCTTAGTGAGTGGACTTACAGCGTCCTGTCGTAAACAAAATAAGGTACGAACATGAGCCTTTCTTACTATTAAGTTTTGAAAGACTACTAGGTTCAAACTGAAATAATTGGATTATTGGCTCATGATTTCTGGGCGCGACAGTTGATTCGAGCTTCACACATCAACTATCACAACAAAGAAATGTTGAAATTGTTAGGTAAGTTTACGAAAGTTATAATGGGTTAAGTGATGAATCAGAAGATTTGAACCCTATCCTCAGTGTCAAAAGACAATGTTACCTACAAGTGCAAACCAACTTTGGAGAAATTTTCGATTGAATTTCGAAAGTAAACTCGAAAAAGTATCGGTTTTACTTAACTTAGCCATGTGATTGGTCCAGAAATCTCGCCTGATCTTATCACCCAATCAGCTACAACAAAAAAACTCGCACCATCTTATCATCCAATCAGATGCAAATGGGAACCGATTGCGACGAGTGTGCGTTTTCCCGCCCTTCAGGCAGTTTACTTATTTTTACTTTAGTAGTCAATGGTTAATCGTGACATTTTCGGCGTTTGATTAGCCTTTGATTTTTGTTTCCTGCGACAATAGGTCGGAATGCGCTCTCAGCGGGTTTTAGAAAGTCCTTGAGGCTTAGCAGTCTCACCTGAGGTCTCCTGGTAGATTGTCTTTGCTTAAAGACAACACTTTAGCACGAGGTAGACTTGATGTTTTAGCAGTTCCAGTTCCAGTTCCTGCTCTGGCGCGTCTAGGCTTCATTACCGGCAAATTCCTCAGGAAATTTCCTTTCAGATCTAATGATTTTAACGCTGGGGAAGTCCACATTTCAAACGGGAGTGTTTGAATATCGTTGTACGAAACGTTCAAATACTTCAAGACTGGCAATTCAAAAAGACACGTCGGCAAGTGTGTTAAAGAATTGTGATGTAACTCAATGTCTTCAAGGTGTGGACAGTTCCAACCAGATTCCACATAGCTGAAGTCCTGCTCACTTTCTTCACTGAAAACAAGATTCTCCGAAATATTCTCGCACGAGCTGTAAGCTTTCTTCCCAACCTTTAAAGTACTAACTTTCATCTTTTTCTCTTTCTTTCCTCCAAGCCACAGACACGGTAAACAGGTGATGGCATTATCCGATACGTTGAGGGTCTTTAATGCGGCCATTTGAAATAACACAATGGGAAGCTTTAAAAGTCTATTGCTCGAAATGTCCACTCGAGTGACAGTTTTTAGGGACGGGTGTAGTCCCGCGAAATCTCCATCAAATGGATTGATCCTACTGGCGGCCGCTAATATCCACTGCTGTTCCAGTTTTGTCAGTTTCATGTCATTCCAAAGTAAAGAAATAGGTGCCGCTGACATACGCCATAACTCCTCAGGGCTGTTGCTTGTTCTGGATGGGTACAGCTTATGCTCTTGGTCAACTTGTGCTCCTTTAGATACGAAAAGAAAGAAACAACTGTGACAAAAAGTACTTCATTTAAGGGAGAATCCGTAACGAACGTGGAAAATTCGGCGTTCTTGAGCCAAGTGTCCCACCCCGCTGAAGCTTATCCTGGTTTCTAGAGCATGAGGCGACAAGCAGTGCCGCGGATCCCTCTTGATGGCATGCTAGTTTATTGCTGGTAACTAACCCCCCCCCTCCCGGCAGATTTCCCTGAAAGTTTGCTACTTGTCATTTATATTCCTAAGAAGAAATGTAACCTAGTGCAAGTCTTCCAACCTTCATGGATGCGATAACATCACAACGGGCGTTTTAAGACCCTCCTCTATGACATACCTTGTTGTAGTAGAATCGCTATGACTTCAGTGCTATCAGCCACAATTGCTGAATTCAAGTTTTTGTGGTCAGCATCCTCTGCTCCGTTGTTTAACAATAACTTTACCATTTCCAAGTCTCCTTGAGAACAGGCAATCTCAAGAGGAGAGCATCTACCAGTAGCAGGATTAACACCCGAGGTAGCATGAGCAGCGCTGTCACTCTCTCCCTGGAAACTCTCTGCGTTGGACTGACATAGGTTAACATCAGCACCATGTGTTATAAGCAGTTGGACAACATCTCTATATCCGACTGTGACCGCACCTTGCAGCGCCGTCTGCCCCATGATGTCTGTAGCATTCACAGACACTGTCAAGTTGGCCTCGCATGGCCCAGCGCTGCAACGGTACAAAAATAATCGTTAGCATATTAAAACAATTCAATCCTTACCTCGAGCGTTAGAACTCTTTCTGCCATACGGAGAATGTGTCTTTCTCAAGCAGGGAAAAGCTCTAGCACAAAGATCCTCTTAGGATCTAGGCTTCTTTCTTTAAAAAGGTGGCTGACATGATGGCTTAAAACCAATACATCAACAACAACATTACATCGCAATTTGTAACATTTGCCGGGCGTCGCTGGAGAGCTTTTCAACATGAGTTTCTTAGATCTAAATCCAAAATACTCAGAACGAGGTCGATATGAACTCGAGGCAAACACAAGCAAATGGACTGAAGCGCGGGAAAACATTAGTAACCGAGTCGAGGATTGGTTTTAGTAGAGCATCTGATTGGTTATAAAGATGGCGTAAGTTTGCCAAAGCAACCACAGACAAAGGTAAAGAAAAACAAAAACAGTCTCTCATTACGATTATTTTGGTTTTGATTTTCTCTACTCATCTGAAAAATGCCCTAATTATCAATGATCAACTATCTATGGTGAATATCATATCAATCTTTAGTATAATTTCAGAGCTAAGCAAAGAGTTTCCAGCAATCTGATAGGCCGAGCGGTTCCTTATACGACGCTATATTAACCGCTCCACGCGGTTTATATTTAACAATTATTCTCCGAAGGCGAGGTGAACATCGTCGAATAATCCCCGAGACGAAGTCGAGGGGATTATTCGACAATATTCACCGAACCTGAGGCGAATAGCTGTTCTAGTATAATTTCAAAGCTGAACAACAGAGAAATTTCTAAAATCATAACATTTTAGTAATATTTATTAACATTTTATTTTAACATTTTATATAAACCGCGTGGAGCGGTTATTCTCCGAAGGCGAGGTGAACATCTCGACCAATCAGATTGCTGGAAACTCTTTGCTCAGCTCTGAAATTATACTAAAAAATGTTAAAATAAATTGTTAATAAATGTTTCTAAAATGTTATGATTTTAGAATTTTCTCTGTTGTTCAGCTCTGAAATTATACTAGAACAATTATTCGCCTCAAGTTCGGTGAATATTGTCGAATAATCACCTCGACTTCGTCTCGGGGATTATTCGACGATATTCACCGAACCTGAGGCGAATAATTGTAAAATACAATATACCAATATTTGACATCAGTCTTTTAGTAACTCAGAAAAGATCAAACTAACACCAGCTTTAACGATTAAAGAACACTTTTCAACTTCGTGTCGTTAGATTAAAAAAAAATTACAACGATTAGTCAGAAGAAAGTAAAATACTATTACATTAAAAAACCCACGAGAACTCAAAGGAAAAACAACTAAAGCGCGGGAAATGCGTATGACCAAGTCGTGGTTGGTTCTAGCTTTCAATCTGATTGGTGGAAAGGAAGGCGCGAGTTTTCTGAACCAATCACAGGGTAAACGGAAATTGCGTGACATGATATTCACGCATTTACGTTTAGGTTAAAAGTGAAATAGGAGACGCGATGACTGAAGTGATAGGTTTTCAGCCTGGGTTTTTAGGAGAGAGTGTAGTAAGTTTGTGGTGAATGTTGACGGTAAACAATAAAACAAAGATTTCACGATTGAGAGTAGAGTGTACCCACAAGTTCGGTATAAAGGCAAAGTAGAGAGAAAATAATGCAATCCCGAATTACTTTCGATATCAATCGAAAATTGCTCTAACTGTTAAGAAAAAGCCATTTACCCACCACTTGTGGCTGCAATCTAAAAGTTGTTCGAGAACCTTCACAAAGCCTCCTTGGGCCGCGAGATGAAGGGCAGTCATGTGCGTTGACGTGCGAACACCCATGTCAATTTTATTGCAAGGTGCCAACTCTTCACCATCCCTAGACACACACACAAAAAAGGGATTGTGTGAAACTTTTAGCTTAATAGTACTAAGGCTTAAGCTGGTTTCTGTGGCATGAAGCATCTCAGAATACTGCGACTTCAACCGGACAGAATGCGAGTCTATTGCAGCTTATCTCTTCCCCCTTAAACTTAAACAATTATACCTCGCAATTTTTTAAAAATCATTCAAACCATTACAAACCAAACCCTAACATCAGCACGCAATTTATCCATACTCTTCTCTATACATTTCTGACACGGAAAACTTGTTTAACAATCAAGAGCTTCTTTACTTGTTGATCATTTCCTTTATTCTCCTGACATTAATGTGTGATTTGGGTTGATATAGTTAGGAGAAATTAGCTGCTGGTCACTCTTAAGTGTCAAAGGGTGAAGAACACAACACAACTAATACCTCCCAATGATCACCCAAGTCCTTGTGAGTGTTTATGTCCCAATTCATGCACCATAAGCATACTATACTGGATATTCATCAATATATACTAAGAATAACAATGGCCCCAGAATGCTACCCTGCGGCACTCCCATAGTGACTTTAGCTGGGGGGGGTGGGGGTGGGGAGACAATGCATTCACACACATTGTTTTTTGAACTCGACCAGTGAGATATGAGTGGAACCATTCTAAGATTTTTCCTGCTACTCCTAGTGACTTGAGTTTGTTGATAAGTAGCAGATGATTGACAGTGTCAAATGCCTTGCGAAGGTCCAGGAACACTGTTCCCGTCACGAATTCCTTGTCCATACTTTCAAGGACTTGATCTGTAAAGTCGATTAGGGCAGTGGAAGTTGAACGCTTTAGTCGGAAACCAAACTGTGATTGTGATAATAGTCTGTTTACTTCCAAAAAGGAACTTAACTGAAAATGTGCTGTGATCTCTCTATGATCTTGCTTATAGTTGGTAAGATTGATATTGGTCGATAGTTATCCTTTACTGATTTATTTGATCAAACCAGTTAGTATTGGGGCAATGATGTCAGAAGTATCCATCCTGGACATTAACCCTTTTAGGCCCGGTTCAGACGCCGAACTTTTCTTGAGCCGAACTCAATTGGAATTTGGACCGACCCAAATTAACAGAAGTACGCCTGTTGATTCAGATGCCGTTCTTTTTTGGCCGTTTCAAATACAGTTCCAGTAAAAACCAGTCAAACTGCTTGCAAAATACATTATAATAATTTATACATTAGGATCGGCACATAAAAAGTACGGCGTCTGAATCAAAGCCGTTCCAAAGGCTTTCCAAAGGCGAAATTCTCGGGCAAGCCAAGTGGGAAGAACGGGTGAGCCGTTCCAGATTGATTCAGACGCCGATCTTTTCATGTACTTAATTCAAGGAATTAGGTTCGGCTCATGAAAAGATCGACGTCTGAACCGGGCTTTACTCCCAAGAGTGATTAACACATAACTTCCCCCTGTAATAACCATACACCATCCGGCAAACAGGTAATGAGAATACTCAAACTTATCTGGTAAAAGTTTTTGTCTTGATCTAACACCAAACTCTCGTAACTTAAATGCAGCCGCTAGAGGGGAGAATACACGATCATATCTTGAGAGTTAAGTGGCTAATACATACCTTGGAACTTGCAGGATGCTCTTGATGATCTCTTCACTGCCTTCACCTGCAGCCACATGAAGAGCTGTTGATCCATCCATCTTGCTGGGGATATTGATTGCGTGCGGAAACTTCTGCACCATTAGTCTCACCAACTCATCATTTCCACTTAGGGTGGCAGCATACAGTGGGGCAATCCCTGTTATTGTGTTTGGTGAACCATCTGCACCGCTATTCAGAAGGTGCTTCACAACTTCGAGATGACCACCTTGGCAAGCCCTGATTTTAATTATTACACATGTCTTCAGGGGCTCAAAAAAATGAAAAACATACATACATTCATACATACATACATACGTTAGTTGACCACTCCCACAAGGGGCTTTTCAGGGCCAATCTTCATCCCATCCCAGGGTAGGACATCCACCAAGTAATCTCGTGCGTGGGAAATTAACGTCTCCTACTCCGAACCCTGCAGGAGATGGAACCTACGGTTTATTCGTCTTTATCCAAGAAGACTAGAATATCCATCCATTTCTTGATATTATAGAAAGGTAGCACATTCTCCTCAATTATTTTAAGACCCTGAGTGTTGGTCCGGCCAGGGCTTGAACCCTCGACCTCCCACACAACAGTCCGGCGCTCTACCAATTGAGCTAACCATGAGGTGGTTAAAAAAAATTGCAAGTTGAAAAATTTAAAAAAAAATTGGTTCTCTATTAGCTCTCAGGGCACTTACTTTAAATTCAGAAAAGTATATATCAAAGGCAGGGCTTATTTGGGATGGGGGCAGGGGTATTAAATTGAAGAGGACCCATATCTATTTGTATACTGGACACACATCATGGGTAAGCCCTTTTTCAAGAGCTTCAACTGTATTTGAAAGACCACGATAAAAACCCAAAATTTCTTAATACTTGTACAGAAGTGTGCTTCCTCCTTGGTATAACTTGTTGATTGTTGTTGTACTTGCTTCGCCTAAAAGCTCTTTTGCCCGAGGCAAATCACCAGTGGCACAACAGCGATAGAGTTCTGGTGAAAAAAGTAACAAACAAACAGTTGACAGCAAATAAAAGTTAATAATTGTTTAAGTTGTCCTTTGAAAGCAAGGTCAAGACTTAATCATTCATTTGTTTATTTCATTTGATTGTTCCATCACATGTCACCAATAACTTAAAATAATGAATAATAAGCAAGGCTGTACTCTAACTAAGAAACATTGAAGGGAGGCAAGTGCTCTGAAACTGTGAAATCCAGGATGCCCAGCATGTGCTTTTTAAGAAAAAACTAAGATTCTTGAGTTGCCCAAGAGCAAAAGTAAGGTGCCAGGGACCACTGGGTGATGCTAGACCACAGCCCTGATAAGGAAGAAAAATATATGGCGAAGAAAACTAATAAAAACCATCATTTCCTTGTCTCACTACAAAAAAAAACAAAACAAAACAAAAATAAACAAATCAACTGGCAACATATTTAATAGGTAACAAGTAACAGGTAACAGGTAAAAGGCTGACATGAACATTTGTAATCACACCAACAGAGAAGTCTGCAGTGAATTAGACCATTGCTTGGGTCATATGTGACACGATATTAGCATTTAGATCCTGAAAACTGATTGGTTTATTTAGTTGTGAATGGTTATTTTTTGTAAGATATATTCATATAATTCATGTAAGAAATATTCATATTTATAACACTGAAGAGAATTAGAGTAAAATAAACTTCACACACCTTGGGATATCTCCTCCTCTCTCGCAGCTTTTCTGATGGCTAAAATTAAAAACAAAAAAGTTATTAGATACAATGAAATATATGAAGTTCATATAATTTGAACTGCGGTATTAGATACGTATGATGCACGATCCTCGCAGTAGATAGCGCTATTTATGCAATA